AGAAAAACGTTATGATATCTAATCAAAAACACCTTAGGTGTGAAAAAAAAGATGTAGCCAAAAAAGGATTGAACATATGACTTAAAGGAATGAAATCAAAATTGGTGGCCAAATTAGTAGCTACACTTTATAGCATTGATAAGAATTTTACAGCAAATATTCATTCATTAGTTAGATAGGCACAGTATTTTCTTTTATCCACCATCATGCCCCAAGTTGAACAAAAAATGCAGCCTGGCTAACTAATGTATGAATATTTGCCGTCAAATTCTTATCAATGCTATAAAGTGTAGCTACTAATTTGGCCACCAATTTTGATTTCATTCCTTTAAGTCATATGTTCAATCCTTTTTTGGCTACATCTTTTTTTTCACACCTAAGGTGTTTTTGATTAGATATCATAACGTTTTTCTCAATACAAGCCAACAAACCACAGCAAGCAAGAAAGCGAACACATTAGCTTTAGGATCACAGCACTATTATTTGGAAAAGAACAATACTTTACAGAACCAACCAAATTCTTTCAAATATATGGTGGTCATTTTTCCTTTCTAAAACAGTTAATAAATTCCTTTATAGTAATGTAATGGAAACTACATTAACAGTTTCTTGTCATTACCCACATGCACTCAATACAGCCATATCAATTATCACTATTTAAGCTAATTGCTTAAGCTAATATCACGTGACACTAAATGCTCTTTAATTAGGAGAATTTCATAAAATTTAGCAAATGTGTGCTTAAATATTAGCAATGACTAACAAATAATAACTGTACACCTGTATGATTCTTTTAAAAACTTGAGCTAGAAACTGCTAATCTAGTTTGATTGGCCTAACCAATACTTATGTATCTGCACAAGCTTCACCTATAGTTTTGCTGCTCTAAGTCAGTCACCTTTAATTCGAATGACAAAAAACTAAAAATAGCCCATTTTTACTTTTAGGGGAAGCTGTAGTAAAAATTTCAGACCAATGGATTATGTGACTTTTAGCATAAGCATGCACAAACATTTTGGTCAAATGTGGGCACTTTTTATAGAATAACTTTGCACATATGGCTTATATTTAGATCAAATTTAACACCTAATTGTAGGTTGTAAAGATCTATCATTGTAACATATTTGAAAAAAATCCATAAAAGTATATTTCTCTATCAAATAGTTTCAGTACTTTTGGTGCAAATAAAAAAAAATGGGAAAAATTCAATCAAAATTGGAGATTTTATATCTCGTGTACTTCTTAATGGACTGCCTTAAAATCTGATATGTGAAATAAGGGTCCAGTAGAGCACATCCACTGAAAATATGTGATAGTTTAGATTACCACAATCCAAGGTACAGAAAGTGGAAAATCGCTACACTATCATTCCTGTTAATAACACACAGTGTGTCCTGCAGGTTTTTTTGGCCGCACGACACTCTACAGTGTGTCTTGATTCAGTTCTTATTTTGTTCATAATCTGACTAACACACACACACACACACATTATCAAATACACAGTGACAGACAGGTTTAAAAAAAATTAGAAAGAAACAGCTAGTTAGTTTGAGCCAAGTGTCCTCTCATGTTAGAACAAAAACAAGTCTTACCCTTCCATGTTCCTGATTTGGTTATGCAAGGCAAGGAATGAAACTGGTGAATTGATAGCTTCACGGCTCTTTGCACATAAACGGATAACCTAAAAATATACATATACAATTAAATAAAACTTTGAAACTGGATCAAGCCAGCAACTGTTACAATGTTTCCAAACTGAAATAATAACAGTGTTATTAAGTAAAAATAAAATGTGAAGAAGTACAATATTAGACTGAAAATGATTTCAAGCAACATCTCTAAAGTTGTAAATGGTTTGACTAGCAACTTGTCAGATTATAAAAACAATTTTCTAGTACAAAATAAGAATGGTGCAAACTTAGATAAAGAATGACACAATATGAGCATTACACACACACACACACACACAAAATGACAACTGGCATTTATGACAGTAAAAACATAGTATCACACCAAAGTTCATGATTTTTATATAAATTTACAAAAATTACATCAAACTTTACTTGAATCAATTTTTTTTGGCTTTCAATTTATTTTCCACATTTGACTATGTCAAGAATGTTTACATGTGTCTTCTAAAGTTAATAAGCATTCTAGAAGAAACTGGAATAAATTTTCAGCATTTTAGTTATTGCTGTGTAATAACATTTTCAAACATTTTTGGCAAGCCCATGCATGTAGCCCCAGTTATCTGGGGTAGTAAAAAACAACTTTAGACAGTAGGAGTCCAAGGGTTCACTGACATCATATTATCACCCATACTTTGATCCATAACATCCCAGCAGGAACTGTTGAAGTGTACCCAATTTATTTATTTCATGAAATTGTCTTACTCAAGTGGCTCTGTGGTAAGTGGAAGATTTCACAAATCCATCAATATTTTACATGTACCAGAACATATTTTTCTAATTATATCATATAAGTTAAAAGTACAGTTTAAAAGCCAAAAGATGAAGCACCCAAACCAATAGGCCTAAGTTTTACAATAAAAATTCTATCACAGAGTTAAAACCTAAAAAATAATTTAAGACTAATGGCAAATGAAATATGAAACTGTAAAAGAAGTATTTTCATTCTTAATATGATATACAAACCTTGAACTCGGACAAGTCAAAATCAGACTGCCTTAATAATTTCAAATATTTAGAAACTTTCTTAAAAATTCTGATTTGTGTGTGTGTGTGTGTGTGTGTGTGTGTGTGTGTGTGTGTGTGTGTGTGTGTGTATATAACAACTACTACTATTAGTTACGTTAACTAACTACTTAACTTAATTAATAAATAAACTACTACTATATTAGTTAGTAATAGTACTACTA